GTAGTGGATGGCATACCACAGGGCGCTCTCCCGCGCTTGATTTTGAATGTTGATGTCTAGGTCTCGATGATTGAGCAAGAGTACGCGCACACCAGCGGAAGAGTATTTCAGCGCCCGCATTAAAGGAGTTTTGCCTCGGTAAAATGCATTGATGTTGGCGTTGTGCCGGAGCAAAGCCTCCGCAAGACCAACATTGTCGTATTTCACGGCCAGGTGCAACAGATTGCTGTTCCGAAATTTGATATTGTATTTCCAGATGCTGGGCTGCAGTTTAAAATCGAAGTCTTTGCATGATTTTGCGAGGGCAAATAATGCACTACCGTCCAAATACGACACAATCCACAGCAAAAGCTCGTTGGGCAGCTCTGTAAGGTTTCGCTGTAATGTATTAGCTCATCGGTAAAATCAGCAAGAAATTGAAACAGACCATGATTGGACAGGATTGGAGCTAGGAAGCAAATTAAATGTAAATGAGGGTGAGGTCTGAAAGTTGGACGCCTTATATATATCGCCTCAGCTAAATTCTGTGGTCAGCTAGAAGTGTAGCCCGTCACTCCGCTGAGGCGCGTAGCAATCACACGGCAGCATCAAAGCCTTGACAAGAATGTTTGGGCGGCGTTGAAGAATCTCTGGCGTCTAGCTCCCGGGAACGCCAAATCAGTTCCTGGTTATGTCGATAGCCTGGAGACCGAATCTATCTTGGCACCCACTTCTCACATCTAGCGCCATAAGAGTAGATCATAACCTATCACGCACTTCGAAATTCCATAGGCAACCCGGAATTTCACCCAGCATTTGTCGACTTTGCTGCTCACCGCAGTAGCCAGTCTGTTCGCCAATGCATGGTCACCACGGTCTACAACCACAAGTGCAGCTGATTGCAGCAGTGGCCTGGAATGATATCTCTTCACGCAGGCCACTGATCGGCAGTATACGGCGCATACTGCGTGTGAATGCATTCTTCGACGTACCGACTGTTTCAAGGAAGTGCTCCATGCCAGACACGCAGCCATGTAGGTAAGGAGCCCACGCGATGGCATATAAAGCTGGCGAGGGAACGCCGCAGTGGATTGCCCAACACCACCACAATCCGAAGCATTTTCTGCCTTTGACGACCACCTCAATAACTACCATGCTGCCTTGGAATCCGTTTCTTGTTTGTGAGATAGAGGTCAGCCCCAATGGCGGTCCTGGCTCCTGTTGCGGCATGACGAAAAAAGGCGAGCCGTGCAAAAACTCGATCAAAGTTGAAGACACCAAGATCGGCCATCAAAAGTTGACCAATCTCGCCAGAGAGCCGTTTGACTTGTTATCGTTGCAGTCCAAGCTCTGTGATGTCGCCAGAGACTTCCTCTGCGCGAGATGGCACCGGCAACGGCAGGCCGACCAAGTTGGCCAGCAGTGGTATGAAGCCGCCGTCCGCAACCAGGCGCGAGTACCACATGGCTCCAGAATGGCTTCTCCGTCAGTCATTGTACATCGGGGCCAGCGTCAGACATCGTCAGCCTCCAGGCGACGCCCTGCATCAGACAACACCCGGTCATCACCACCACCGGTGCCCCTGTCAACCAACCCCGAGCCAGTGCAGCCATCCAATCCATTTGTGACTTCTGCAATGCTGCGGACGAACAGTGTTCCATGGCGCGTTTCGCCGACCCGACCAGCCATCCTCTCATCGGCAACTAATATCCGGGCGGGTGTCCAAGACTTGACGCTGCAGAGTCTCAGGCCGAGCCAAGCGGTCGACAGCATCCACGTCGACAGCATCTACTGTGTGTTCTGCCAGACTGAGGATGAAGACCATGCGGACGAGAGCGTGATCTTGCACTGCGGTCAGTGCACATCGCTCTGTCATCTGTCATGCGCCGAAGAATGGTTGGAAAAGCGAGATACAGGGTTTGGCACGTCATGCTGTGTGTGGTAAGTGTGGATGACCTTATTTCTGAGACGACCAAGATACTGACGACCGCAGCCGTAACGAAGGAGCCCTAGACGCCATCCTTCGCCCCTTACGAATCCCTTCGTCGGATGCCGAGACACGTACCGTCGCAACTGCAAGCGAACCGTCTCCCACTGGTGGGCCCCGTCGCTCAGCCAGACTAGCAGGGTATCATCTACCGCGAGACCCATCCACCTCTGCACCGCTTCGCCGGTCGGCACGACTCAATTCCACTCAGCGTGGGTGATCACAGATTCTAGGCGAGTTAAGATGGAAAATAGGAAAAGCGACCGCCAATAACACGCAGTTCGCGTGACCAGGCACTCGGCACCGTGATCACCAACCGTGGCCATAGCGTCGATATAGATTTTTCGGAGCAAGCTTAGCAAGAAATGAGATCCTGATTGTAAAACTCCAGAGTACAAGGCGACCGTTCATCTTTGCAAGTGCTGGGCACCACTAGGCCTCAGCCAAAAGATACTGGCTGCTTCACTTAATTTGACAATGACATAGCACTGAATGTGCTGTAGATGAAGTCTCTTCTCTCATCTAACCTACAGTAACAGCGATGACCAAAGAGACACGAAATTCATCTCAGTGGAGCCGCGTCGCATAAGGCGGAGATTGTTGGAAGAAAACACCACAGGTTTGTACGAGACTGACAAACGCTTGTGCTTGTTAGCTTGACTTTGGGAATCAAAACATTGACCCGGGGAACCTCAAAGCATTTCTAGGAGCTGTCTAACCCTAGGAACCACAATTTAGCTCCTGGGGCTATTCTTAGTTCCTGTCAGAGATGGAGCATAGCCGTGTCACGGGACGACCCCCACCCTCTCGGGTAGGGGGTGTCCCTCAGCCATAATGCAATTCTCAGCCATAATGCAAATTCTCTACTTTTTCAACTTTACGCGTATTCCTACCTACCAAAAATGCCTAAAAAACCTCGTGATGAAGAGGATCTGCTAGCTAAGGCATTACATGCTTATACTACGCGAGAATTTTCATCCCTACGTAAGGCTGCGGACCATTATCGCGTGTCTTATTCGAAGCTTCGCGGTCGCAAAAACGGACAGACATCTCTCTCCGATCGCCCTACCACCAATAATGCATTGAATTCCAATCAGGAAAATGCATTAATTAGCTGGATCGAATTGCTAAACTCTTGCTATACACCTCCAAATGCAAAAGACATTGAAATTGCCGCAAATCGCCTATTAAAAATGGCAGGGTCGGAGAGAGTTGTCGGCCCAATGTATAGCTATCGCTTTATACGGCGTCTACCTCCACACATCAAGCTTATTACCCAAAAACCAAAGGAATCTTTACGAATTCAAGCCGAGGATCCTGGGGTTATTAGCCATTGGTACGATAGGCTTGAGTATCTCTACCGTGAGCATGGTTTTGAACCTCATGAGATCTATAATTGGGATGAAACCGGCTTCCAAAATGGCGAAGGACTTAACCAACACGTCGTCTCTACGCGTAAAACTGCTAGCATTGCTACTGGAGATCGAGGTGAAACTATTACCGGCATTGAATGTATTGCCGCTGATGGCTGGGTGATGTTTCCATGGTTTCTAGTCAAAGGCAGCGTCCACATAGAAGACCAGTATAGCAATATGTCAACCTCTTCTTCGGCGTACAAAATTATCCACTTGACGTCTAATGGCTGGACGGATAGTGAGACTGCTTATCGATGGCTCTGCTCGTTTCATGAAGCCACCAAAAAACCGCGTACGACGCGGGCGACCGAGGCTTTTGCTAATGGATAATCATGCGTCTCATACAACTATCGAATTTCTCGATTTTTGTAAGGAAAACTTGATCATTCCTTGGTATTTTGTACCTCACACGACTCATATATGTCAGCCGCTTGATGCTGAGGCTTTTTTAAGCCTAAAGCATGAGTTTAAAATGGCGAATACTGAAGTTGTGGCGTGGGGTGGAAGCAATGAAAAACGCGACTTTTTCCGCAATATTGACGCCGTCCGACGCCGCGCCTTAAAGTCCAAAACTATCCAAACCTCGTTCAAATCTACTGGTATCTGGCCACTAGATCCGACACAAGTTTTGGATAATTTAGGGCAGTATTCAGATAAAGAGGTGCTACGCATGTACGACGTGCCGTCACCCGCCCGCGAATTCCCAAGTTCAGCAACCAATTCCCCGCCCAGTTCTTATCCGCGCATTGAAAAATTAGAGAATACGGTTTTCCCACTACTTGATAGCCCGACTCCTGATTTACAAAAAATTCGGAAGCATATACGGCGCGCAATTGATGCCGGAAAATCGTCTCTATATAATGCGGAACTTGCTGAGATGAGCCTTACGCGGGCCCTTAGCTATAAAACGCCTGGGAAAAAGCCTCCAAAAAGCAAGCGATGGGTAAAAGGTGCTACAAAGAGTCCCCTTTCATCGATTTCAAGCAATAGGCTAGTACAGCGTAGGTCTGAGAAAGAAGATGAGTCGAAGCTTCGAGCTTTGCGGAAAGACGCAGAGAAAATGGCAGCTGATTTAGCGGCTAAGGAACTGGAGGAAACGTTTGAAAGTGAGGACGATGATACATTATTGGCTAATGAGGCTATTGATGGGCTTTATTTCATGGATCCTGGACCTTGTACGTCTAAGAAACGAGCCAGAAATTAAAGAAATTGAAACTTTTGCATTATGGCTGTTCATTGCATTTTGGCTGTGGGATAACCCCCTACCAGAGAAGGTGGGGGTCGTCCTGTGACACCTACGACTTCCTTGGACCAAGGTCTTTCCATAATCAATGGAGAAGCGAACTCCCACACAAGGAGGGTAAGAGAGGATGCGTATGAACCCAGCATTGAGTATTGCTAATTATCTCCTGTGGATCAAGTCTATTACTTTCCAGTGACAGGAATCTTGGTGGCCACACGCGCCGAGAGAGCTGAAACGTTTTTCCTTAACTCTTCCACCCCCACCTTCTTTCTAAATCTCTAAGAAGCGAGTCTTAGCGGTCCCCTCCTGCTTTTAATGTTGCTCGTCGGTGTATATTGGCATGTTTACCCACACTTGCCGAACACGGAGTCACTAGTTACAAATCTTGCTCCACACGCCAATAAATTGTAATCGTCTGGGCGCCATCTGGAAGCGGAATCATAGCGAACTGTCCTGCCGAGCCCGAGTTTATGTCACTGGTGTCTGGCTGCCCCAGCGAATGGTAATGGATAACTATATTTCCGTTGTGGTAGACATTAAAAATGACCTCTGAATAGGTTCCTGTGGGTGCCACGAAGACATCGATGACTCTCTGATTCGCGTTCGCATCCAAGGTTGCCCGATAGACTTTTATTTCGGCCCCCGATTGGATTCGTTCCGTTAGGCTCTGAAAGTCGCCGACGGCGGCTGTACTGAAGCTCCAGTGGAAATCGAAGCTCGATGGACGACCAAACGTCTCACGCCATGGAGTCGTGATTGGCTGCGGTGCGTACGACTGGGGGGCAGCCAGGGTGACAAGCGGTTGTAGACATATTAACAGATACGTCAGAAAAACAGGGAAGAACTATGCTGGTCAGTCTAGGTGAACAAAACGACGGCAAATATACATACCATGATTTGTTATGAGAACAGTACTAGTTTAGTCTGGATAAACAAAGTATTTGGATGTAGTTGAGAATGGTTTGAACAGATATAATAAATAATAGGGCCTGCCTGAACGATTTTATATAATAATGAAAACTAGAGTCCAAGCGGCCTCGAAAAGGCGCCACACAGGCGAGCCGGACGACACCATGGACGAGCAACCAGACGACAATGAATGGCTCGGCATTCAACCCACTCCGGCCAATCTCCCTCAGCCTGACACTCAACGGGATAGCCTAGAACACCGACTTACCCAATTCATCAACGAGGTCACCACTGTCAACGAGGCCGGTAACACGTCCGAGCCTGATGACGAGGAGGAACTGGACCCGGAGAGCCCCGAATACCGCAAATTGGTGATTCTGAAATACAAGCAGCGGCAAGCGATACCGATTGGGTCATCTCCGCCGCTTTTTCCGACGGATACGCCGACAATCGAAGACCCAAATGATGAAGTACGGCACGAGGCTAGCGAGCGAAGCGATGACGAACAAATACATCAATGAAATCGTTTGGGATTCTTCAATATAACGTACGCAAATCGTGGCCAGTGATGGCAACGTTCCTCAGAGACAGAAATGTCGTCGCGGTGCAGGAGCCATGGAAGAACGAAATGCAACACACAACGCACCAACCAGCGACGGCAACTTTCCAGCTAATCTACCCACCAAAAGCAGCTGCTGACGGATCAACCCAAGGCCAGGATGATCAAGTCCAAGCCTCGGATCTCTCCCAACCGGGAGTATGCCTGTTTGTCTCTAAAAGGCTTGACCCGAGCCAATGGTCGTGTCAACTCGTCTCACAGGACTACCAGTTACTGAAACCTAGAAAGGCTCATCAAGGCAGAGACTGGACAGATCTCTTCATACACAACATATACAATAGGCCGGCCAGCAATACCCTTAGACATCTAAGAACTGAGCTGTCAAAACGACCTCATGGAGAACACATCATCCTTGGAGATATGAACGTGCATCACCCGAGATGGGGAGGAATAGGGACCAGGGCCGATCACGAGGCCAAGCAACTCCTAGAGATCGCCAATGAATGGGAACTCGAGTTGACAACCCAACAAGGCAGACCTACCTGGTCTCGAAACGATCAGTCATCGGTGATTGACCTCACCTTCATCACATCTAACGTTGTCAACAGGCTGATCCATTGCGAGAGAGCTGATGCCATCGAACATGCATCCGACCATTTCCCGATCAGGACTGTGCTTGATATTATTACACCCATTGCTGTACAACAGAAGAGAAGAAACTGGAACGCAACTGATGACCAGAAACTCATCCAGAAGATCGAAGGAGGTCTACAGGCAGGAGGCCTATACCAGGCAGATCTGCAGAGGATAGAAGCCAAATGCCAGGAGCTAATGGGTGTGATCCAGTCAGCAATCGAGGAATCAACCCCATGGGCAAAACCATCCGCGTGGTCGAACCCCGACTTTGACGACGAGTGTAAAGTTGCGGTCAAAGAAGTTCGTCGCCTCCGTCGCAGACATACGAGAACCAAAGACCCCTACGACTGGATGTGCTACTCGGAAGCACGCAACAAGAAAACGCGACTCGTCAAGAAAACATTGTCAAGAGCGCACCGGCGCCGAGTCCAGCAAGTCGTTGAAGATGGCCCACAGGGTATGTGGCGATTGGCTAAATGGGCAAGAAACCGAGCTGGGGCCTACGAGAAGGGTATCACCCCTTCGCTGAAAATACAGGATCCCCAAATGCCTGGAACTCTCGCAGAAACAGTTGATCAAAAGGCAGAGGCATTCCGGATTGCCTTCTTCCCCAAACCGCCGCCAGTCGATCTATCCGACACGGACTCATTCCAGTACCCACAGCAAATCGAGTTTCCAGCAGTCACCGCTCAAGAGATACAGGAGGCGGTGCGAGGAGCGAAAGCAGGGAAAGCACCCGGAGAAGACGGCATACCAAACTCTCTCTGGCACGAGCTTATCGAGATACCGGTGATTCTAGAAACAGTGGTCCAGTTATTCAACGCATGCATAAACACGGGGTACAACCCGTCACATTTCCAGCGCTCAATCACGGTGGTGCTCCGGAAGCAAGGCAAAAGTGACTACCAGCTCGCAAAATCCTACAGACCCGTCGCGCTGCTGAACACGCTCGGAAAGTTTCTGGAGGCAGTTGTCGCGCGACGGATCAGCTACGCAGCAGAAACCAACGGTTTACTCCCGCGAACCCATCTAGGTGGGCGAAAGGGTATATCCACCGAGCATGCTACAGTGGATTTCGAAAACAGTTTACCCCCCAGACATGCACGTTTACTCTCCCAGAGACCCACTTTGGCGCCTTGTCCGGATCGCCCGGGTTCCAGATTCTCCCGCAGCCAATGATATGGCGTCAGCCCTCGGGGAAGGGGCTGCATCTAGCCAGAATCGGCTTAGCGCAGACTTAGTGGGGCGCTGGGAAAGAAAGCGTGCGTGTCTGGGGGGTAATCTGTTTTCGAAATCTTCTGTATCCACATTATCATCGACCGAATCAAAACCGCATGGGGAAAAGGCAAGCCAGTGGTATCTCTGCTAATGCTGGACGTATCTGGAGCGTACGACAATGTCTCCCATGAACGTCTACTACACAACCTCAAGAAACGACGTCTGGGACACTTCGTTCCCTGGGTGAGGGCCTTCCTGAGCAATCGAAGCACACGGATCCGCATGCCCGAGGGCTCATTTGATCGAATCCCGACACCTACAAGCATCCCTCAAGGATCACCGATCTCACCCATTCTATATCTCATCTACAACGCAGACCTCGTTGAGAACTGCGGTAACGGTGTGACTAGCAACGGGTGGGTCGACGATGTTTGCTTCATGACAAAGGGAGACAGCGAACGCGAAACCATCAAGAAACTCAGAGCGGCATGCCGCAAAGCCGACCAATGGGCCGAGAAACATGCATCAGTTTTTGACCCGAAGAAGTATGCACTCGTGCATTTTGTAAACACCAGGGAAGTCGACCCACAACACACATCGCTTTCTCTACGAGGACACACGGTGACAGCGACGAGGACGGCTGAGCGGTACCTAGGCTATTGGCTGGATCCGGGTCTGGAATTCCACCATCACCGCGAGAAAGCGGTGGCCAAGGCCGGTGTCTCTCTCCACGCACTACGAAGCCTGGCAGGATCAACGTGGGGAGCCTCACTCTATGCAATGCGAAAGATCTACCAAGCGGTGATAATCCCGCAGATGCTCTTTGGGGTTTCCGCGTGGTATCAACCTATGCTCATCAGTCACTCCAAGGCACGCATAATCAGTCGGCCTTTCGTGGCAATCCAGAAGCAGGCAGCATGTCTCATCAGTGGAGCTTTCAGAACTACGGCAGCAGAGGCACTGAATGCAGAGCTTCACCTACCGCCTATTTCTGTTCACATGAATCGACTGGTGAAAGAAACGGCCCTTCGACTACGGACACGACCAAAGTTCGCTGTCCCGCCAACGATGTTACGTCGACGACCGGCAGATGAGAGAGACTGGGCTGGATGGTCACCGATGGAGGCGCAAGCTTGGAAGGCGGGCGGATGTCTTATGGCTCCCCCGGATACTTTGACGAGGAAATGGGAGAGTCGAAAGGCATTCGTCCTGGCGCCATGGCAAGCGCCACCAGAGGTAATCATCGAGGACAGAGAAGCTGCGGTCAACAATCACAACCAGATCCTGATGAAAGACCCAGAAGAAAGACCCTTGATTCTGTACACCGACGGGAGCGGAATTGATGGAAGGATCGGAGCGGCAGCGGTCGTGGACCTTGAGGATCAACATGCTCATAGCCAGATGGGAGATGATGATACGTCCACCGTATATGCGGCAGAACTTCGAGCCATTGAGATGGCACTTGAAATGGTTCTGGAAAACACAGAGCCATGGGCTAAGCAGGCGAAGAACGGGGTAGTCATCTTTGTAGACAGCCAAGCAGCGCTGAAGGCGCTAAGGCGACCGCGGATGCCGTCAGGACAGGTCTATCTAGCAGGATGCCTCGGCCTGATCCAGCGGCTTGCTGGCAGATGCGTCCGGATAGAGCTCAGAAGGATTCCTGCGCACCAAGGGGTCATTGGCAATGAGATTGTGGACCAACACGCAAAAGAAGCAGCCCAGGAACCGGACGGCCCACAGAACCCTCTCAACCGAGGTATATGCCTCGCAGCCGCAGAGAAGCGAAGCTGGAATGGGACAGGACGTGGGCCAAGGAAACGACCAGCCGCCCGACGAGACGCCTGATTGAAGCACCAACCAAGAAGACGCTAGAATACTGGTCGGGCCTCCGCAAAGCGACGACATCGATTCTGATGCAGCTTCGTACTGGGCGAATTGGCCTAGGGGCTTACCTGAACCGTATCAACCGACGCGAAACAGCTCGGTGTGGTTGCGACCTTGGCAACCAAACAGTGATCCACGTCCTGTTGGAATGCCCCTTGCACCAGGACGGGCGAGACTGGATGAGAAGCGCTCTCTCATACCAGGGAGTCGCTCTCCACCGGGACGAACTCCTCACACGACCGGAGGCCCGCACAGTTGTGGCCGAATTCATGGTCAAGACCAGCCTTCTAGGCCAATTTCAGACAGTCGATCCCACGGCTCTAGGCGAGGAGCAGGGGGATGACAAAGGAGCGGAGTGTTGTAATTCAGAAGGAAGATTGAATTGTTCTGAACTAGAGGGAATAACTGAGGCTAAATATACACAAAGAGTAGATCAAGTTGATTGGAAATCAACTTGTTTCTCCGTATAGACACCTCGGGATAAATTCCGATGGTACGGCTTGGTTCCTGATCTGCACCAGCCTCATATCACAACAACAACCATTCAATCATAGTTTGTGACAGCAAGCTATTGCAGTATGGCATTCGTACGTGAGATGGGGTTAATCTACTAAGGGGAACCAATCCAAAAAGAGGAGTTGAATTGAATTGAGTTTAAGAAAGGACGAAAAGAGCGGAATGTGGGAGG